TCTTAGTCCATTTTCAAAATACATACGCTTAATATAAATAATATATTCGATAACTGAAATTTTTTGCTTGTTAAACAAGAGGCCATTAGACGGATCGTCGTTGGGATGGACAGTTCTGTTCTGTAATCCGTGCTTAAGCTGTGGTCAGGGAGGGTAGTAGTAAATATTAAATTACATGCCTATGAGTTGTGCTCATATTTTGCACTTTGTGTAGATTCGGAAGATGATTCGGCTGAAAGCCAGGAGGAAAAGGCCCGTTTGATCTCGCAAGTGTTGGAACTTCAAAACACGCTAGACGGTAGGAAGCTTTGTATCGTTTTTATTTAAAATGCACTAAATTGCAATTGCTGTTTTCTTAGATCTTTCTCAGAGAGTCGACAGCGTGAAGGAGGAAAGCCTGAAGCTGAGGTCTGAAAATCAGGTTCTTGGCCAATATATTGAAAACCTCATGGCAGCTAGCGCTGTCTTTCAGCCGGCGTCACCTAGGTCAAAGTCGAAAAAGTAGCTTCGTCCTTGACTTCTGCTTTGGGCACCGATGGCCGTTCAGTCGAGCGGTGCTGCTTGGCTATTAACAATGTTGCGGTCTGATCGTGTGAAGGATTTGCTCTTGTACTGTTTTGCTTTGTGTTTGTTTTTCTGTTGAATCTAATGCAATTCTGTTGACAAGAATTCATCAATATATCGAAAGTTGTCAGGAAACGTTTTTCACAACTTTTTAAAATGGCCAAAATAGGGTGTTATCTTTATTTGAGATGCATGCATAATATATGCTATCTATTGTGTGTTTACAAGTTCGTACAAGTTTATGATCTCTGCCAGCCTATAAAGTTTAGCAATTTGTAGGATTGTCGTTTAAAGGTATCATAGCTTTGTTACCATGTTAGTCTGTTCATATGTGAAGTAGAGTAAAAGAATTGTTTTACATATTTGCAGACTGAGGAAGCCCTGAGACATCCGTTAAAGTAAATATAATTTCACTGAAATGGAACAAGAATGTTGGATCGCTGAGAGACAAATCTAGGAGTGAATTTTAGGATGTTATTTTTATTTCAAACAGAATTTTGAGCATTCTTAATGAAGCACAAACAATAACATTGATTCAGTCAAAGGGCGAATGCTAAGTGTGTATTCAGTGTCAGCCAGAAAGATTTATGCCGCTTTTTGAAGAACATCAATGTGTATGAAATATTAACTTGATCAAGCCTGTGGCAGTTTTTAGCCTGTGTTTTTAAATTACGTTCTCGCCTTGCTTTCTCGATTAAACGGCTTATGATTTTAAATTAAAGTTCAAAAGCAGAGCGTCAGTTTTAATGTGTTAGCAAGATTTTGCTCATTAGGACTACGAAAGTGAAATTGCCCTGGCGAGTCGAACATGCTGCGGACTTCATCAGCTGGCGGATTCTCTATGCAACGCATCTCCAAAAATGACAACCGCTTAATGATCAGAAGTGAAAAGTTAAGATGAACTCATCCAACAATAGAATCGATAATACCCTTCTACTCATTGGTTTTCGTGTTGATTGGGTTTTGGCTTCTAGACGTTAAGGAATAGGACATCAAAACTAAACTTTTCAATTACTCGATATCGTCTTCAGGTATGGCACCATTCAGTGGGAATTGAATGGTATGATCGCCGTCATCTGTAGTGCTTCTAACTTGTCTGACTCTTGAGTTAGGAAGGGAGTAACCACAAAAATCCGTCTGTTCATTTCCTGTCGAGGCTACTGAACAGCTATTCCGCTTGTTTGGCGAGATGGAGAGAGTTGTCATATAATGCGTACAGCTGAGTTGGTTTCGATGTATAATGAAGGTTAAAAGGCTTTAACATTTTCCTCCTAGTAGGTGACCACAGTAGAGTAGTGATTAAGAAAAGGAGGTTCCGACAGTCAAACTGTTGAGTCCATAAGCTTTTGGTATGGGAAGGCAGATGTCAATCATAAAGTCATCATGCGACAGGACAGAGGAATAAGGCAGAGGCAGATTCGCTTTCAGAGATAAATTATTTCTTGTCTGATGCAGCAGCCGATGCCGTAGAGCAAAATTTTTACAAACTGTGAAAACATCAAACCACAGGGGCGAGCGGTTAAACGTGACTATCTCAGCAAAACTTATCAACCAAGAAATAATCCACCCATGCTGATATGTGCAGAAATTTATCGCTTTTTTGTCCAAAGTGGTGATGCGTCGGTTACAAGAAATTATGGTTAAGCCTACCCATAAGATCGAACTCCGCACTCTTGCCTCGTCTGACCCGACTTCTTGCCTAGGCAGTGGTGCAGCGAAAGTTAAAAATTTATATCGTCGGCTAAAACAGCGAATAGATTTCAATCTACATCAGCATGACGCTTACCACTCTGGAAAGTAGCATATCTCTATACAGCTACGGTTCCTGTCAAAGTTCGTAATGAACAAAAAAATAGTCGAGCAAACA